GAAAGACAGACACCCACGCGTTCCAACACCGCACGGGGGTGCGGAGGTCCGAGCGATGGCCAGGGAGGCGGGGGGGGCGACACGCGCAGCGGGCGAGAAGGCCAGGCCCCCCCCCCCCCCGGGGGTGCGAGGATGGATGGCGCTCCGTGCGCCGCGGCCTGGGCCGGAGGTCTGCCCTGCGGTGGCCGCGCGTTGCGCATCGTGGGGCGCGATGCGCGAAGTTGGTGATGATGATGCTGATGGTGATGATGATGGTGATGATGATGATGCTGCTGCTGATGATGATGCTAATGATGAAGAGGATGATGTTGATGCTGATGCTGATGCTGATGCTGATGATGATGGTGATGATGATGATGATGATGATGATGATGATGATGCTGATGCTGATGATGAAGAGGATGATGTTGATGCTGATGCGGATGCTGATGCTGATGCTGATGCTGATGCTGATGATGATGGTGATGATGAGGTGATGCTGATGCTGATGAAGAGGATGATGTTGATGCTGATGCTGATGATGATGCTGATGCTGATGCTGATGCTGATGCTGATGCTGATGATGATCATGATCGTCGGCCATTTTGGCCCAAGCGGCGGCATGGGCTGGGGACTCGCAGTTGCCATCTGTTTCACGACTCTGCCTGATAGTCCTAGCGGTGGATGGGCTCGCGCAGTCGCTCGCGCGAGCCAGTGCCAACAGCACCCATGGACGGACACATGATGATGGCTCACCTCAGAGAGATGCTGCGCTCAGAAATCAAGGAACCGATGGCCAAGGACTTTGCGGACGTGAAGACGTCCATCGACAATGTGCGCAGGGACGTCGAGGGGCACGAGGGCCGCCTCAACAACATGGAGCAGGAGATCAAGGACCTACGAGAGGGGCGCCCGGCGGCCTCCTCATCCACGGCAGCTTCCTCGGTCGGGCCTCCGCTGCGCTTCACGGGGCTCGAGAGCGCGGCACAGTCGGTCCCGTCGGGGCCGAAGAGGGCGAGCGACAAGATATGCGTGACCATTGGCGACTGGGATCGGGACACACCCCGCGACACCATCCTGAACGAAGCTCGCGCGCTCACGGACACCATTCCCGACAAAGCAGAGGATGGCGTGTTCGTCCCACTCAAGCGCGCCAGCTTCCTGAAGGTCCGATTCACGAGCTCGGGACGCATGTGGGCCTGGGAGCGTTCTCTGGCAGGGAAGCAGATTATTGTGCGGCAGCCACATCACCTGGGTCGACGATCTGGGTGTTCTGTGGAGAAGCCCTCGGAGGAGATTCGGCTCTCAATCATGATCACACGTGCGAAGAAGGAGATGACAGACAACCTATGTGTGCAGGCAGCGGACCTCGAGCTGGACTACATTCGAGGCATTGTCCGGTGGAAGCAGCACAGGTTCGGCGAGATGGCGAGGACCACGGGCCTCATGAGTTTCAAGGAGCACGTCGCGGCCGATATCAGCGCTCACACGGGCGTGAACCTCAACCTGGTCGAGTCCCAGGCAAAGGTCAACGCGGCCAATGACTGGACAAGGAGCGGACTCTAGAGGAGTCCGAAACGGATGAGCTTCAAGCTGATCAGCTGGGACGCTCGGGGAATTCCAAAGCACAGCGCCGAGTATTTCGCGGCGACGCCGCGCGAGCAGCACGACTACGACGCCGCCATCTTCCAGGGGGCTGGCTATTGGGGCAAGACCTCGGAGCTAGAGGTCGGCGAGGGCGACATCTGCCAGGTCACACCGCGGGTCGAGGGGCAGAAGCAGATGGGGCTGCTAGTACGCTCTCGGGCTCGACTGTTTCTACGAGGGGATTTGCTGCCATGGGGGCGCTCGGCGGCACGCCAATTTCGCATTCGCAAGAAGGACTACTGGATCATACGCAGTCACCTTTTCCAGGGCGCCCCATCAGCCAGCACGAGGACTCTATGGATGAGCTTTCCGACCTGATCATGATTCCACCTCCAGGGGCGCATCCGGTCGTGGGCGTGGACGCGCAGATGGCTCTGCCCCCCCCGCAAGCGGACAAGGAGCGCTGGATCGGGGACTTCCCCGTCGGTCAGCGCACGCGTCGCGCCGAGATTTTGACGAGACTTCTGATGCAGCACAACCGCGCGGCGACGAACACGTTCGCTGCGGCGGCCAGCGGACCCACCTGCCACTGCGATTTCAAGCACCCGCCAGCCCAGATCGACTATGTCCTGATACCTGCTCGCGACATCTGGAAGGTCAGCGCCGAGCTCGAGGAGATCGCCGACAGCGCGCAGTCCGACCACTCGGCTATCAAGCTGGACTTCACCCTCGGCACCAGGAGGCGCTACGTCTGGAACAGAGGTCGTGCGCCTATGAAGGGCTGGACCTGCCTCGACAAGCGGATCCAGCGCTGGAGCCACAGCACCTGCTGCGCCGACCGCAACCCAGCGCCATTTACTTTTCTGACGGACGCGGTGCACCTAGCTGCAGCTGCCCGTGGCAGGGGCCCGCCAGCGAGGAAGGCCCCCAAGCTCCCCGAGGGCCACGAGCTCATTCAGACGCTGCGGATGCTAGAGGCGCGTCGGCGGGTCACCCGCGATCGCGCGCAGCGCGCGATCTAGAGCAAGGACATCATCAGGATTTGCAGGAAGATCTGGACTGCGAACTGGGCCTTGCAGCGCGGCCTGCACGAGGCCGGCAATCCTCGAGTGCGAGCACCTCGCCGGGCTCAGCCCGGGCCGGCTCACAACCAGCTGGCGAACGCGGAGGGGGGGATCGAGGGCGACCCGCTTCGGATCAAGGGGCTTCTGGAGCGCGAGTACGGCAACGCCTTCAGGGCCAGCGACGGGGAGGAGCCCGTCGGAGTTTTTGCCTGCCCCGCCCACTTCGCGACGGGGGGCGCGCTCGACATCCCGCCCTTCTCGCCCGAGATGCTCCGCGAGGCCCTGTGCGACATGGAGGCCATGAAGGCGCCCGGCGTGGGCGGGGTGGTCGCCGAGGTCCTGCAGGCCCTCGGCTCGGGCATCTTCGCTTCGCTCGCGGCCGTCTTCGAGAACCCTTCCCGCGGGGCGCCAGAGCCAGGGGCCGAGCCTGGCCGAAGCACGTCACCCAGCTCATGAAGAAGAAGAAGGGAGACAAGCACGCGCTCAAGGGGTATAGGCCGATCACGCTCCTGACCACCTTTGAGAAGCTCTACTCACTCGGCCTGATCAAGAAATGTGGCCACCAGCTGACCCTGCGGAGCCCGCAGCACGCCTATCGGAAGTTCCACCAGGCGACGGACGTGATCTTTAGCATGCGCTTGCTGGTGGAGAAGGCCCGCGAGCAGAACCGACCCATCTTCATCATGGGCGGCGACATCGAGGCGGCCTTCGACCGCGTCTCGCACCGCTCGGTCGAGGAGACACTGAGAAGAAGGGCTGAGCCAGGGCCCGCGATCCTAGCCATCATGAGAGAGCTGAAGGCCTCGGCGGCGATCAAGACGGGCTCGATCCAGACGCAACCAGTACCTCGGACTCGCGGCATCTGACAAGGAGACCCAGCCAGCGCGATCCTCTTCAACCTAGTGCTGGAGGATGCCTGGGAGGGAGTGCTGGACGCGCGGCTGGGCCCGCGAGTTCCCAGGCGAGGCGGCGCTGTGCGAGGCGGGACTATTCTACGCCGACAACTTCTGGCTGTTCGTGGGCACGGCCGAGTCGCTGCGCCAGATGACGATGGCCTGGCGACGCATCCTACGAGTTCGCGGCTGGCACGTGCCTCCCTCTAGTCTGACCTGGGGCACGACGGCGTTGGACCGCGAGTTCGGCGACTGCCAGATGAGGGTCGAGGGCGGTGCCCTGACGCGTGCGCCTCGCGCCGAGGGTTTTCCCTGCTTCGACCGGCTCTATTTTCACTTTCGACGGGGGGTCTTGGAAGGGCGCGCAGCACAGGGTAGCGCGCGCTTGGCGGGCCTTTTGCGCCCTCAAGCTGTTTCTATCTGGACGCGCCTGCCGCTGGCAGCAGGCCGCGAAGCTGCTTGAGCGAGCCATCAAACCTGTCTTGCCCTATGGATCGGGGTCGTGGTGCCCCGCGGTCAAGGGCCTGAGTTTAATTCGTGTCACGCACCGCAGACTGTTCTCTCAGCTGATTTGCACGTAGAGATGGAAGGAGGAAACGCCAGAGAACTTCTGTCGCCGCCGTTGGCGCCGCGTCTATGCCGCCCTCGAGTCCCACGCGACGTGCGACATAGACGTGAATCTTCGCAGGCTCGCCTGGGCTGGTCACCTAGCCCGCCAGGCCGCCCTGCCAGACGCCGCACCTGCCCAGCTGCCCAGCTAGTGCCTGTCCATTTGCTACAGTGGCGCAGTATGGCTTGGCTCCAGAAAATGAAACGCGAGCGCGGATCCCAGGCGCGCGGCCGCAAGTTCAAGGCCTGGCGATGGGAGATGGACCTCGCTCGACTGCTCGGTTCCGACCTCGCTTTTCGGGTGCAGGCCAGTGCAGCAAAGTGGAATGGCTCGCTCGCGTTCGCCCGATCGCTCGCCAGCTGCACTGACCTCAATCTTCTCGTGCCTCCCGCGAGGCGCTCTTGCATAGCGTTTAGTTTCAGCGGCTTGACGTGCCGCCTCAGGCACAAGGGAGACCTTGAGGGCACGGTGCAACGTGCAAAGTGCATCATCATCGTCATCATCAGCATCATCGACCCAGGATAGTGGCCGATGTGGCTCCTTCGCTCACGGCTGAGGCCTCGGCCTCAGAGGAAGCGGCGCTCGCAGTGCCCAGCATCGCTTCGGCACCGTGCCCTGCGTCGCTGGGCTCGGGCTCCGCGGAAGAGCGGCAGAGAGGGGCCCCATCGATCACGCTCACACTGGTGCTATGGACTGTCGGGTAGGCGAGGAGGGCTTGCGCCGCGCCCTCGGAGCGCTGCGTGTGAGTGCGTCTGCGTGTGAGTGCGTGGGTGTGTGGGGGGGGGGGGGGGCGAAGAAGAAGAAGGACACATGATACTTGTACCGAGAATCTAGGGGATCTGTGTGTCATTCTTTGCGTGCCCCTGGGCCCCACCCATCCTTGGATGGGTGGGGCGTTGCGGGCGCGGTGTGGTTCGCGCAGAGATCCTGCTGCCGCTCGTCGTCCAGTGCCTGCTACGTGTGGCCCTGCCTGCACGGCGCAGCGGCCCACTCCGCGGGCGGGGGCGATCAGGCCGTGAAGGCGCTCGGGCCCTGCAGCGGCCACCTTTGCGATTGGGCAGGTTCGAGTGTTGCCGCACGCCTCCTCCTGCTGATCTCTTTCCTCCTCATTCTCCTCCTCCTCCCCCTCCTCCTCCTTATCGTCATCAGGATCATCATCCTCATCCTCCTCATCCTCCTCCTCCTCCTCATCATCATCATCATCAACCTGGTTCCTCCTCGTCCTCCGCTTTCCGCCTCGTGAGCTCGCATGTTGAGATCATGTGGGCGCTGTTGTTGGTGATAGTGAAAACGACTAGTATGGCGGTGACGATGACGACCGAAACGACGACGTCGTCGACGACAACGTTAATGATGATGATGATGATGATGATGATGATGATGATGATGATGATGATGATGATGATGATGATGATGATGATGATGATGATGATGATGATGATGATGATGCTGATGCTGATGATGATGATGATGATGATGATGATGATGATGATGATGATGATGCTTACACCTCATCGGCATGGCGCTGATGGTCATATTACGGCCATTTGGATGACTACCGCGGTAGTGGTAAATACGGCAAGCGACAATGATGGTGTCGACTAGGATGACGATGAGTCAAATGATGGTGCTGATCATGCTGAGGTTCAGGTCGGTTCTAGGAATGATGACCCTTGTGAGGACGACGATGATGGACATGGTGAGGCCTAACATGGGGATGCTGATGCTGCTATTGACGCTGATGACGACGACGGCGACGAGGAGAATGAGGAGGTGGAGGAGCGGGAGGAGGATGAGGAGGACCACGACCACGACGACAAGGGCGAAGGCGATGGTGGCAGCGACGGCGACAACGGCGACGACGGCGACGACGGCGCCGACAGCGATGAGAGCGGCGACGACGGCGACGGCGACGAGGGGCGCCGTTGACGACGGGCGTGGTGCAGGGCCTGCGGCGGCGGCGGCCGGGGGCCGGGGCCGAGGAGCAGCTGCAGGAGTGGCACGGCCCCCTGGCCCGTGCCCCAGCGGCCCCCTCCGCGAGGCTGGCAGGCGCACGCGGTGCCGCGCGCCGGCCTTCGAGAACTGGACGCTCTCGGGGGGGCTGTCTCTGGCCCGGGGGCCCAGAGGAGGTCCAGTGCCACGAGGCGGGGTCCGCCCGTGAGGCGAGGGCCGTCCTCGTCCTCGAAGGCGCCGTCCCGGGCGAGCAGTTCGAGGGGTCACGGCCGCCGTCATCGTCGCCCTCGAGGGCGCCGTCGGGGCGAGGACTCGAGGGCGTCGTCGTCGTCCTCGTTGCCCTCCTCCTCCTCCTCCTCGCTTTTCTCTCCACGCGATGGAGAACGAATTGGCCTGCCTGCGACGAGTCCGACGAAGCAGGTCCGAAAGGGGCAGGGGTGAAGCAGCAACAGGTGCAACGGGCAGGGAGAACAGCGCACCAGGAAGATTGGATCGGCAGCCTCGATGGAAACCTCCGAGATTAGATAGGCCGCTCACGATTTTGAACGGCTCTGGTCCCTAGCTTGCCGCTTTGGCTCAAGCGTTGGCTCAGCACGTCCAGCAGGGGGAGGTACTCTGAGGGCATTCCACCCTAAGGGATCGATGGGACTGTTCCCCCATGTCGCGACGTCTTCTGTCGGCGCGGCAGAACAGAACGCTGTCTTCGTCAGCGCGGTGTTGTGCTTGGCGGTTTGTGCAGCATTCGTTGCCCACACGCTCGCGTGCAAGGGCCAGATCTTGCAGTTCTGGAAGGCTTTCACCTTCGGGATCCAGTTGTCAGATCCTGACATTCGAGAGGAGATGTCGAAGAAGCTCAGAGCTGAAATTCAGGACAACGCCCGCCGCATCAACTTTTTCGTCGTCATCGTATGGTGCTGCGTAAACCTGAGCCTCATGGTCATTCACATCGTTGCCAAGGCCCCTCGGTGGATGACCTTCTGGCAGGACGTGGTGTGTATAAGCGTAGGCTTTCTAGGCGTATTCTGCCAGCTGGCCCTGAGGCACAGGCAGGAGCAGGCGACGGTCTCTGCGGTGTACGTGGTCTTCATGCTAGGGCAGACGGTCTTCGTGAGTGCCGGCCCCGCTGAGCAGGTACTCGGGGGACGAACAATGGCATAAACATAGACTTCCGATGGTACGCGTAGATTTCTCCGATCGTCGCTGGAGCTCCCTGGCGGCGCCTCTGGTGCCGCCCCTGGCGCGCTCCGCGCGGCGTGAAGGGGGGCCAAGCGCCGATCCAAGAAGTCCGCGCGGACTTCCAACAGCTCATGTTTACGACCTTTTGTTCCCCTACAGGTGCCCTACATTGCCATAGCAAGCCTCTGCATGCTCAGCCGGGCGCTCTTCAGCGTGGCGTGCATGAGGGTTCCCGTGGTGCTAGGCATGACGTTGCTGCACTTCTTTTGCGCTACCGCCGGCTTCTCGCGGACGGAGGCGTCCTGTACCGCCGGCCACAGCTCCTGCCAGCAGCAGCACATGCAGATCTTCTGTGTCGTCGAGCTCGTCGGGGACGTCGCCATCATCGTGTGCTCCGTCGCGTGGCGCGACAGCTGCAGGCTGCGGATCCTCCACGAGATCCAGGCGTCCATCTCGCAGAGAGACAGCAGCGCGTCGAGGAGCCTCCTCAACATTGTCTGCGACGCCACCGTGGAGCTGGACGAGCGGCTGCACATCGTGGACGAGACCCCGCGTCTCGCGAGCCTCCTGCAGCACGGCACCGATCGTTCCCTGAGAGGTTCGAGCATGGTTCACTTCGTGGTCGAGGAGGACCGCAAGTTGTTCACCGACCGCATCTGCTCCGCCAACGACGAGTGCATGGCGAACGTGTTCCACACGCGCGTCCGCGATGGCATCAGCAACGTCCTCAACATGGAGGTCTTTCACGTCCGGGCTTCCGGCTACCTGAAGCCCGATTCCCACCTGATCGGTGTGCGCGAGTACGCCGACGCCACGGAGCACGTGGCCACGCTGTCGTCGACGGGACCGGAGCTGGCGGGCCGCGGAACGCGTGCGCAGAGCACGCGGGCACGTGGCAGGCGACCAAGCTCCCGGCGGAGCTGGGAGGCGCGCCTTCCCGATGCGGAGCCCAGAGGGTCGCTGCAAGACGTGTGGTCTTCGTCCTCCTCGTCGTCCTCCTCTGCCCGCAGCCTCTCTTGCGTGGACGGCGAGACCGCCGCCGTGATCGATGTCCTCTCCGAGAGCTGGGAGATCATGAGCGCCACCGCGGGCTTCGAGCTGTTCTGGGGCAACGGGCCGCGGTCCGGCCGCGCCTGCCGGCTGCTGGAGTGGGTCGAGCCAGGCCAGAGGGAGTTGCTGATCTTCTGGGTCCAGAAGACGTGCCAGAAGTTGTTGGCCGAGGCAGCGGTCCCGGACCCTGCCCGCGCGCTCGGCGGCCGCGCGCGAAGCTTCGATGACCAGGTGTGCCTCCGGCCCCCGTCGCTCTGGCACATCCGGCCGAAGATGGCGTACGTGGCCAGCGTCGTTCTGGATCTTCCCGAGGAGCACGAGGAGCAGCAGCCGCGCACGCTGGTGCGGCTGATCTTTTCGGACATCCAGGTGGTGCACAAGAGCGGCGCCCAGCGTGAGGCTGCTCGCATATGAGTCCCGCCGCCGCCTCGATCTCGCAGCTCCCTGGGGCCTCTTGCTGGTGAGGCTTCGGGCTGCGCGCGGACAGCCGCCCCCAAGTAGTCCCCAGCTGGCCCCAGCAGGCCCCCCGAGTATCAGGAGGGGAGCAAAGCACACAGACACAACGAGTCGTCGACCCCCAGGAAAAATGGGAAACTCAGGAGGTTCCTTGGATTCGCGCCTGCTTATGTGTGTGTGTGTGTGTGTGTCCCTGGGCCCCTCTTCAGAGTGGCCCTCGCTGGCCTCGGCAGCCCTCCGGGGACGTCTCACAGCACCATGGCGGCGCGCCTCCCCAGCGGCGCCCCTCGCGAGCGCCCCTGGCCCCATGGGGTTAGGAGGAGGAGAAGAAGGAGGAGGAGGAGGAGGAGGAGGGCGAGGAGGAGGAGGAGGAGGAGGAGGAGGACGAGGAGGAGGAGGGGGAGGAGGTGTGGAGACCACCCGCCCCGGACTCCTCGGGGGGCCCATGGAGGCCAGCGGGGACGACCTGAGATCCGCCCCAGACCCCGTCGAGTAATAATCAGGAGGGAAAGAAACACACAGACACAATTCATCGTCGACTCCCAGGAACATATGCAAAAATACGGGAAGTGGGGGGAAGACAAAAACACAAAAAATATGGGGAAATCTGGGGAATCTTTTTATTTGTGTGTATATTCATTTGTGTGTCCTGGCGCCCCTTCAAATAAATGAAAGAATCACGGCGGGAGGTTTGTCGCCATTTTCGGCCTCCGAGGGGCCTTCCCGGGCCCCCGTGACCGGCAAAGAACAACTCAGGACGAAGAACCGATCCCGGGGAAGGGGTCCAGACATGAACAAAGCATAACGTCGGGGGTCTGGGGACACCTCGCAACATTGAGCCAACGCGAGAAATCACGACTGGAGCCCTGGTGAGGCCCTATCTCTCTGCGCAATTGTCCGAGCCGGATCGATCTGTGAGGATCCCGGGGCCCGAATTTGGAGAGACCGCGCCCGGCTCGCAAAGACTGGGACGCCAGGATCTCAGGGACCTGCTGGGGGTCTGTCCGTTCGCAGCCTGAGAAGCCTCAGTATCTATCGAGATGGCCCTGCGGCTGGTGCCGCCGACCCTGAATCAAGGGAGGAAAAACCACCCGGACCCGACTCTTCACGCTTACTCAACGGCACTGGGCATTTACGAAACAGCCCCACCCTGTTCGACTCCTTCTTCGGGCGCGTGTGCTGAACGGCTTCGCGTGTCGGAGTGATTCTTCTGGGGGGGGATTCTCTGCCCTCCCCAGACATGCGACGTCTTGATATTTTCAGGACGGCGTCCCTGGAAGTCCTGACCCTTTCCCCGGGACTGGCTTTTCGTCCTGAGTCGTGTTTTGACGGCCCCGAGGCCCGGCGAGGGCCACCCGGGGCCGAAAATGGCCACAAACCTCCCGTCCTGATTGTTTCATGAAGCGATTATGTCTGGGAACGGCTCTGCGTGTCGTGGTGATTCTTCTGGGGGGGGATTCTCTGCCCTTCTACTGAGGGCGGGACCTCCTCCTCCTCCTCCTCCTCCTCCTCCTCCTCCTCCTCCTCGTCCTCTCCTTGCAGCCCACATTTTGGGCCACCCCCTGGACCCGCCGCGGCCCTTTGGGGACTACCCTCCCCCCCCCTAGCTCCCCCTACCTCCCCTCTGCCGCCCTCCCTGCCCCGCACCCCGTTCGGGAAGGGAGGAGGGGGGAGGGGATCGTTTCTTAGCTGCGACGTTTGCTTCCCGTGTTCGTTCTTCCATCCTCCTGGGACTGGCGACGGCGAAGACGACGACAGCGTCTCGCACACGCCGCGTGGTCGGCGGATCTCCAGGAGAGCCTGCGTGGGACCTGGCACCGCCACAGCGATGTGTTTTGCTTTGTGCCTTTGCCTCCCGGTCGTCATGGGAGCAGGCAAAGTCTCCCATGACCTCTTGCCGTCGCCCTCTCTCTGCCCCTCTCGCCTCTTCCATTCGTCGGGCGAGCGCGCTCTGCAGTGCACGGGCCGCAGGCGTGGGAAGCAATGTTTGGACTACATGTTTCACCCCACGGATGCCTGAGTGTACATCGCTGACCCCTCCCGCTCCCCCTCAGCCTCTTCCTCCTCCTCCTCCTCCTCCTCCTCCCCCTCCTCCTCCTCCTCCTCCTCCTCCTCCTCCTCCTCCTGGTCCCCCTCCTCCTCCTCGCCCTCCTCCTGGTCCCCCTCCTCCTCTTCGACCATCCCCTCCCCCGTGCTTTGCTCGGGCCTCGGCCGCGCGGCCGCCCGGCGCGGCTCCGCGGCCGCCCCTCGCCCCCGCGCGCGGCTCCGTGTCGAGCAGCCTGCGGCAAGCCCCGCCGCCGCTGCCACGGCAGCGGTCAGGGGAACAAGAAGTGGACCTTTTTCACCACCCACCAAACCACCCCAACCCAACCCGAAGGCTCAGATTTACCCTCGAATTCTAGTGGGGGGGGGTCGGGAAACATCGAAAAAACACGCGTGGAACCCTTACCCCCCCCAACCCGAAATTCGGGTCTTCGGGTTGGGTTGGGGTGGTCTGGTAGGTAGTCACTTTTGAGCCGTCTTGGGCATTCAGAAGTTAGGAATTCGGCAAGACATGAGAGTGACCTTTCGCCGGAGTGACCTTTTGGTGCGGGCACACTGGGGTGCCACGATCGCGGAACGGGATGCGATGGCAGCGTCTTGCGCGCCTGTGGTTGGCCCCCCGCGGCCCCCAAAAAGCCGCGCACCAAAGGTCACTCTTACCCAGGGTCACTCTTGCGTGTAGTCGAGGAAGGGCCATCATGTTAGGATGGGTGCAAGCCGCAGGGAGCACGCGCTCTCGGCTCAGCCCCCATCCGCGCGGCACCGCTAGGGGAACACGAAGTGACATGAACATAAAAACTCTGAGATCCGCGCGGATTTCTCGGATCGGCGCTGGGGCCCCCCAGCGGCGCCTCCGGCGCCGCCCCTGGCGCGCTCCGCGCGCCAGGGAGGGGGGTCCAGCGCCGATTCGAGAAATCCGCGCGGACCTCCGAGTGTTTATGCCGCTTTTTGTTCCCCTAGCGGTGCAGCGTGGATGGGGGCTAAGCTGAGGGCGCGTACTGGAGCTCCGCTGGGCCCATGGTGGTCTGTGGGGGGGGACTCTGGGGGGCCTTTTTGGGGGTCTCTTGGGCCTCTCGGGGGCGTCTTGGGGGCTCCGGGGGCCTCTTGGGGGCCTCTTGGGAGCATGCCGCAGGTCTTACAGTTAATCCTGTAGGACAAGGTTGTCAAGTCCGGCTCGATCTCCCCTTCTTATGGCCTTCCTGGGGGCCTTCTGGGCCGTCTTGGGGGCATCTTGGGCCGCCTTAGAGCTCCCCTGGGCCGTCTTGGGGCCCTCTTGGGACCCTGTTGGGCTGTCTTGGAGCTCTCTTGTGGACCTTTTGGGCCGTCTTGGGCATTCAGAAGTCAGGAAGGGCCATCATGTTAAGATGGATGCAAGCCGATAGGAGCAGCACAGTTTTGTGCTGTAGAGAGCCGCTTGGGCGTCCTCTCGGAGCCCTCTTGGGCCGTCTTGGGGGCCTTTGGGGCCGTTTTGAGGCCATCTTGGGGCCCTCACGGGGCGTCTGGAGCCCTTCTTTGGAAGTTTTGGGACCGCCTTGGAGGCCTCCTGACCGTCCTGGGGCGCGCTTGGCTGGCCTGGGGCGTGTTTGTTTGTGTAGCTGTTTGGGCTGTCTTGGGGCGCGTCTTGTGTTGTTTTGTTCTGGTAGTTTTTTGGTTGTGTGTGTGTTCAGTTGTTTTTGTTTCCGCAGTTGATGTGTTCTGGCGTTTTTTCATCAGGTTTTGGCTGTTTCGAGACGCCTCGACCAGAGCTGTTGTTCGGCCAAAGCTTCTCCAAGCAGAAACTGGATGATGGAAACTGGTTCAACATCGGCTCCAGAGAGGAAGGACGATGTTCTGCACCCCCGCTGCGGTCCTGGGATGGGGTCGCTCCTGGATGACACAGAAGAGCCCTGCCAGACAGCATAGGGGCACTCCAGCACACCTCAACGTGCACACGGTGCCGGATGTCTCTCCCGGATTTTTTTTTTCCACCCGAAGAGCTTTGGAGAGGCTGACCTCTGTCGCAGCGACCGGTCTTGTTGACTGTGTCCGTGCGCTGCCCCGCCCTCGCTGTATCCCGAGGACGAGCCCAGGGCCTGCCACGTGGGCGAGGCCACCGGGCGTCCCTCGGGGCCACGCGAGCGCCTGTGCCACGCGCCACGCGCCAGTCGTCCGTGGCGTCCGACCGTCATGCTCACGTGCGAGGCGCGTCCCCCCCGCCGCGAGAAGTTTGCGAAAGGGCCTTCCCTTTCCAGAGGAGAGCCTCTCAGAGAGGTTTGCGCAAGAGCGAGGCCTCGCAGGGACGGGCCTCGCGGAGCGAAGTTTGCGAAAAGGAGAAAGGACTCGCGCAGAGAAAGGCTGCCTTCCCCAAACCTCTCGCGAGCCCTCCGCCGCCCTCCTCCTCCTCGTCCCCCTCCCCCTCCCCCTCCCCCTCCCCCTCCTCCTCCTCCTCCTCCTCCTCCTCCTCCTCCTCCTCCTCCTCCTCCTCCTCCTCCTCCTCCTCCTCGGCGGCGAGCCCCGGGGGGGGCAGCGAGGAGGGCGGGCCTCCTCGGAGAGGGATCTCTCGGAGCAGGCCTCCCGGCCTGCCGAGCGAAAAGTCCCCTGTCGCCTGGGCCTCCCCGCGGGAGGCGCCGCAGAGGCCCTCCCCCGGGGGGCGCGAGGGCCTCCGAGGAGCCCCGCCGGCCTCCGAGAGGGCCTCTCCCTTTTCCGCCCTTCCCCCCGCCGCTCGCCGCCAGGCCTCCTCCTCCTCCTCCTCCTCCTCCTCCTCCTCCTCCTCCTCCTCCTCCTCCTCCGTCTCCCCCTCCTCCTCCTCCTCCTCCTCCTCCTCCTCCTCCTCCTCCTCCTCCTCCTCCTCCAGCGAGGAGGGGCGGGCCTCCTCGGAGAGGGATCTCTCGGAGCAGGCCTCCCCGGCCTGCCGAGCGAAAAGTCCCCGTCGCCTGGGCCTCCCCGCGGGAGGCGCCGCAGAGGCCCTCCCCCGGGGGGCGCGAGGGCCTCCGAGGAGCCCCGCCGGCCTCCGAGAGGGCCTCTCCCTTTTCCGCCCTTCCCCCCGCCGCTCGCCGCCAGGCCTCCTCCTCCTCCTCCTCCTCCTCCCTCCTCCTCCCTCCCTCCTCCTCCGTCTCCCCCTCCTCCTCCCCTCCTCCTCCTCCTCCTCCTCCTCCTCCTCCTCCTCTTCTCCTCCTCCTCCTCCTCCTCCTCCTCCTCCTCCTCCTCCTCCTCCTCCTCCTCCTCCTCCTCCTCCTCTCTCGCCTCGGCGTGGGCGAGGCGAGCGCGGCCCTTGGGCCGCCGCGGCGGGATCCCGCGAGCTGCTCTCCTGGGGCAGAGGTGCAGGTCGGGCCTGTTGCGGGCAAGAGTCATATCCATATCCAGTGCCTCTTGGACTTTTTTGGAAGCGGCGCCACAGGGCCGAGGCGCACTGGATATGGAGAAAAATCGAGCCTCCAGCGGGCAAATTTATCCATATCCAGTACTCCTCGGGTTTCTTGGGAAGGGAGCCCGAAACTCCATACTGCAGTGGATGTGGACAGAAGTATTGCCCGCACCTGTGCCTCTGCAGGGGGGATATCCCAAGCTGGTGTGACAGAAATCGTAATTATGCAGACGATGTTCCGATTCTGTTTGGCTGCTACAGTGGCCTCCGGCCAGCGCCGCCGCTCCGGGGCGCTCCGGAGGAACAAGAGAGGAGGATCATCGTGCCCACGGACGTGGGCGTCGTATTCGTGATGATGAGCTTCATTCGGCGTGCAAGCAGGATTTGATGAAGAAGGAGGACGAGGTCAAGGAGGATCAGGGCCTACTGGGGGCCTTTTGGACGCTTCTTTGGGGCCTCTTGGGGCCTCTGAAGGACTTCTTGGAGGCTTCTTGAAGCACCGTGGGGGCGTCTTGGGGTCGAATGCTCGACATGATATTTCTGTTCCGCCGTCCTGGGACCCTCTGGGGCTGTCTTTGGGGATTCTTTGGCCGTTTTGGGGCCTTCTTCGGCCGTCTTGGAGTTCTCTTGGGGGCCTCTTGGTTCGTTTTGGAGCGATCATGAGGGCGTCTTGGGCCGTCTTTGACGCTGTGAAAGCCCAAGGGGCGAATACGCTGAACATGTTTTTTTCCAGAGGGAATGTGGCAATGTTTGCCTCTTGAGGCCCTCTTGGGAGTCCTCTTGGAAGCTTCTTCCGGCGTCTTGGAAGCTCCTTGGGCGATATGGAGGCCAGCTTTAGCGTCGTGG